CTGCGCGCCCCCTGGAGCGCCGCGCCCCCCTGGGACCCTTGCGCGCCCCAGGTCCCCAGCATAACCTCGGGATCCCCGTGCGCCCCGGAATCCCGGTACTGCCCCAGGAACCCCGCGCGCCCCTGGACCGAGACGCAGCTCCGGGACCTCCGCGCGCCCCGGGACCCCCGCGCACTCTCAGAACCCCGGGGCTCGGCCAACGGAGCTGCGCGCCCTGGTGAGGGGGCCCCGCCCCAGAGGGTCCCCTTCTTCCAACAGGCGGAGCCCCGCCCCAGAGGGACCCCCAGGTTCGGCAGGGACATCCAGCCACGCCCCACAGGGCTCCCAGCATCCCGCGGCTGGAGCCCCGCGCTCCAGAGGAACCTCCGTGCTCAGCTGGGGACTCCCCGCCCCGGGGAGGGGGCGCCGCCCAGGAGGGTCCCCCGCGCCCCGCGGGCCCCGGCAGGATGCACGCCGCCCTGGCGGGGCCGCTGCTCGCCGCCTTCCTCGCCACCGCCCGCGCCCGCCCGCAGCCCCCGGACGGAGGACAGTGCCGGCCGCCCGGATCGGTGAGCGAGCGCCTGCCCGGCCCCTCTCCCGGCCGCCCGGGCACTCCAGCCCCCTGGGGACGGTGGTTTTGGGTCCTGCCTTCCGCACCCACCTCAGCCCGCTCGCTCCACCTCCGCCCGCCGGGCGCTCCTCGGGCGCCCTTCCCGGCTTCTGCCGCCTGGGTCCAGCTCCGCGCCGGGAGCCGAGGTGGGGCGCCCGCTCTGCCGCTTCTTCCCCACACGCCGGCCGACGCTCTCGGGCTCCCCTCGACTTTCCGTCCTGCCTGGACGTTTCCCCTCTGTGCCCCCTTGGACTCACTTCTTTCTTACTTTTGTCCTGTCTTCACCCTTCTGCTTCTCTCTGTCCGCTTCTGACTGTCTCTACGGTTCCTTGCCCTTCTCTTCTCTGGCTTCCCTCGGACCCGTCCTCGTTTGCACACTCTGCCCGCTCGCAGGCGTCCCTCGCCCCTGCCCTCCCCCTCTGACCTACGGCACACTTTCTCCCCGATGCTGGTCCCCACTTCTCTCTTCTTCTCCAGCCCGGGCCCCAGCACCCACTCTCCCAAGCGCCCCCGTTTCACGAAAAGGGGGAAGATTCCAGAGGAGACGAAAAGGAAATGCCAGGACTTGCTGGCCTAGCAGTTCCTCGGGGTTGAGTATTCACTGGTTCTCCTCATTTTCCTTCCAAACCAAGGAATCCCTTGAATTCCCTCAGTATCCCTCCCTCCAAGTGTAAATTAATGCATTGAAAATAACCCCGCATTGGAGGCCAGGGGAGCAGGAAACGGCATTGTGGGGTCCTCCCTCGCTGCCCAGCCAGCAGGGCAAGGTGCACCTCCGGAATCTTGACTTGTGCGGAAACAGAGAGCTCGGCCGCTGGGCGCTGGGAATGAGTCGGTCTCCAGTAGGCTGCGGTGCACGGTTTTTGGCTGTTAGTAAAGTGAGGTGCTGTTTCCTCCACCCAGCCCGACACATACTTTTCATTCGTGCTAGAATCAAGCAGAAAAAGTCTGAGTTGACCTAAAGTTTGCAGATGGTCAGTGGCCAGTCTGGGGGTTTTTCTGGATGGAAGACAACTTTGCCTGAGAGAAATGACAGTCCCTTTCTCCTGCCCCTTAACTCCTGGCCCTAAACGGACCTGGAGAAATGACCTGTCTCCGTGCCCCTCCTTCACCCCTACGCTCACAGCTCACACCACCTCCTCAGAGCTGAGGTCGTAGAAAAGATGAAGAGGACTGGGGTTGGAGACCAGGTAAGCCTTTTTAGGGGAGGAGTCTGGAAAGCACCCAGAATATGTACATTTCTTGGGACTAATTCTGTGGAATCTTCCCCTCCCAAACCAGGGCCTGGAGACTTCTCTTAGCCTGCAGGTTTTAAAGCACTTTCTCATCTGTGGTGTCAGCTGGTGGAGCAGAGGAGCTGACACCCCAGACTTGCCCTCCAGAAAGAAAACCGCACCCCCCTGATGAATGGGAAGTTGCTGTTTCCATAGGTGTGCTGTTTCTAATAGGTGTTCTGCTTTCAGACTGCTCTTGGCACATATCTTCTAATGGATGCGTTTAAAAGTTATATGACTTCCTCCCTTCTTGCCAGAGCAGGACTCTCGGTCCCGCTCCCCCACCCTCCCCGTGAAACACCAGTGAAACACCACCAGTGCAGGTTTGGCTTGGCCGGGTGTGAATATTCTCAGGTAGCATGGCACTCCTTGGCGCTCACGGCGAAAACCGATCGTAAGGAGAGCTTCCTTCACTGCCTCCTTCCTCTGTGCCTGGCTCTGCTCTTTGGGCTGATGTACACACATTGTGTCTTTTCATCCTCCCAACAACCCGACGTAGTGGCTCTCACCCCCCATTGTGCAGATGAGGAAACTGAGTCTGTGGAAGTGAAACAATGTGCTTAAGATCATACAGCGAAGACAGGGCAAAGCCAGGATTTGAAAGTGGGTCTTTCAGCTTCCAAAGCCCTTGCTCTTTGCAGTGGCCCCATGTAGGTCTCTGCCTTCCGTCCCACCTCCACCTGCCCTCTCTGTGCTAACCCTGGTTTACTCTGCTGCCTTCAGCCTCACCGCCTTCCTTCTCTTCTCCCCCTGCAGCAGAGGGACCTGAACTCCTTCCTGTGGACCATTCGGCGCGAACCCCCGGCCTACCTGTTTGGCACCATCCACGTCCCTTACACCCGGGTCTGGGACTTCATCCCAGATAACTCCAAGGCGGCCTTCCAGGCCAGCGCCCGCGTCTACTTCGAGCTGGACCTGACGGACCCCTACACCATCTCGGCACTGGCCAGCTGCCAGCTGCTGCCACACGGGGAGAACCTGCAGGACGTGCTGCCTCGCGAGCTCTACTGGCGCCTGAAGCGCCACCTGGACTATGTGAAGCTGATGATGCCCTCGTGGATGACGCCCGCACAGCGGGGCAAGGGGCTCTACGCCGACTACCTGTTCAACGCCATCGCCGGCAACTGGGAGCGCAAGAGGCCCGTGTGGGTGATGCTCATGGTGAACTCACTCACGGAGACTGATGTGCGCTCCCGAGGCGTGCCCGTGCTGGACCTCTACCTGGCCCAGCAGGCCGAGAAGATGAGGAAGAGCACCGGGGCTGTGGAGCGGGTGGAGGAGCAGTGCCATCCGCTCAACGGGCTCAACTTCTCCCAGGTAGGCTGGCGGCGCCCTGGCCCCCAGAGCCGGCAGCCCCCGTGCGCCTTTGTCCTTCCTCCTCCGGCAGCCAGGGCCCTGTCCGTCCCCCAAAAGGGAGAGGTCTTTCGGGCTGTGAGGCAGCTCTCTGGCTGCTTTGTGGTGGTTTGAGGGCCAGCTGGTGTGTGCTGGAACTGGGGGTGGGAGTTCGGGTGCTTGCTGCTAGCTCAGTGGTCTTACCTGTTGGGGATGTGTGCTCCCGCCTGCCGTGCTCGCCTGGGCGCATCAGAGGGATGGAAAACAAAAGAGGGAGTTGCAAGTTTGTGGCCGGCTTTCCGAGGCCTTGGGGTCTCAAGAGCAGGAGGCTGTCCGAGGCTGGCATGTGTACGGAAGACGCACAGGGGGAGACGTGGTTCCTGGGGCTGGGGGGCAGGAGAGGTGTGATGGACCTGGTGTCTGGGCAGCCCCGGCTTGCTGTTGGAGGTTAAGAGCTGCCGAATGTCTGGGGCCTTTGCAAAGCTCCAGGCGACCCTCGGGCTGCCTCTCTAGGCTGGGAGAAAGTCAGCAAGGATTGTTTTGGGGTTAATAATTTCAGAGAAATGTGTTCACTTAAAGGTTGACAGTTCTGATTTCTGAACCTCAGGAGTGGGTGCGGGGAGAAGGGAGGAGCTGCGGGGGTTTAAAGTCTGGCTGCCAGAGACCTGATCCAGCAAAATGTCATTAAAAGCCCTGTCTCCGTGGTCAGAGGTCACTCACAACTCACTGGCCCCAAACTCAACTCCGAGGCCCTGGAAACAGTGAGTTCACATCTGTGCCTTGAGAACGGGCTGTCAGTCCGGGATGGGGGCTCCGCGTCAGGGCTGGTGGCTCCCGCAAGGAGGCCCCGAGTGAGGCGTGGTCCCGAGATGTGCTCCTCCATTGAGGAAACGGCCCCATAAATTGGCTGGGCTAGAAGCTCTACCTCTGGGACAAGATCTGCTTGCTGCTCCCGAGATGTTGCAAGCTCTTCACCAGGGAAACAGCGGCAGAAACTGATCCCCCTCCGGAGATCTCTGGCCTTTGTTTTTCCAGGGGAAATGCAATATTGTCCCTGGGGAGGTAAGAAGCCAGACTGATTTGCCGGCCAAATGAAAGGCGGGTTTGTCGGTTCTCCTGCTGGCTCTCCCATAATTGTGGAGTTCTTACCCAGAGGGCCCTGGTGGCAGGAATATTGGGGCGGTTAGTCACGCCCCGCAGGGTTCTGACTATGCCTGACTCCTTCTCCATGGGGGAAAATCCTGTGCATTCTCTGGCCCAGCGCTGATTCCTCTGAACATACCGCTTTCGCCCTCTGCAGTGACTTTTCCCTTGCCAGCCTCGGGAAATGATATTATCTGCACCGAGCTCCCCAGCGCTCACCGCCCATCTCATTTTAGAGGCAGGTTTGCGGGAGGCCTCTCTGTTCACGTCTGGCTTCGACATCTTTTTTAGGCCAGGGAGGTGGGGGATCCACCGTCACTCTCAGCTTCCTCTTTGTGCCAACCACAGAGGAATCCAACAAAGCTGAAGGGAGCTCACAGACCCTCTGGTGAAACGGCCTCTGGCTTTAATCTGTCTCTCTTAAAACAACAAAACTATCTTTCTTTGGGGTCTGGAAACACTGCTGTTCAACCAAATGACGGCTTTGGTAGGTTGAAAACATTTGCTGGGAAGTGTGTGAAGTTTTGTTTTAGGAGAAGTCGAGGACCATTCATCGGCCCTCGAGGAGCGCGCTGACAGTCTCCAAAGCCGGTGTTTGAAGATCAAACAGACTCAAATCTCTGGTTTCAAAAACGCGCCCACCCCGTCACCAGCCTGGGCCCGCTCTTAAAATCATTCTTGGGTCCAGCTCCTTGAGAGGGCTGCAGGAAGCAAGTCCCAAACAAAAGAAAACAGGACTCCTCTTGGTTCCCTAATCTACGCACCCTTCACCACCTGCCAGAGCGTCTGACCCCGCCAATTTGTCCTGTTATCATTTTGGAGGGAGGTGATGAAATTGTTCTTCCTTCCCTGTGGGCAGCCGTGGGCTAACTGGGAAGGGAGGGATTTCAGAGCCAGGGCGAATGGGGTTGTTAGGGACCCCTAACCCCAAAGTCAGAAACACGGCAGCCTTCTCAGTAAAATTGTATGTGCGCGTGCACAGTTTGATATGAACATCTGTGATGCATTATTATACTGAAATATCTGTTAAGTGCATCAGATTTTTATTTTTTCTTTCCTCTCAGCATTACTGTTATTGCAAAATATTTTGGGGGGAGCAATGAGAGAGGAAGGCGGGAAAAAGAAGTCTTAAATGAGAGCGCCTTTTTGTTAAGACCTGGGATTTTAGTTTTAATTTTAGTATTTCTGAAATTTTTACATTTTCTTCTGGGCAGAAATACCACGTTTTTCCTTGCTAAGTGGAGAAAGAAAGCTTACGTGTGGGGATTCCCTGGGCTGGAGGAACCACTGAAAGAGTTTCTTCCACCTTTGCACAGGCTTGGAAGACCTGGCTTATTGGCCCTGGTCTCTGATTTCAATATAAACTGAGGGTGTTAGATCCACCATCACCTGAGTTTGCTGTGTGACCTTGGGCAAGTCAGTTCCCCTCACTGGGCCTTGTTTTTCCTATCTGAAATGAGACACCAGGATTAGGTCATCTTTCAAGCCGCTTCCAGCCCTGACGTTCCATGGGATGGTCATAATCAATTCCATGTGCCACGCACCCTACAGGAGGTTTCACTTGCTTTTCCATTTTGTTGGATTCTCACAACCTGCTCGCTTTCTAAGGTGGGCACTCAGAAAGCCTGGGTGACTCGCCCAAGGTCACGTGGCTAATAAGGAACAGAGCCAGCCGGCCTGACTCTCAGTGAAGGCTGTGCCTTGCTGCCGCTCCATGCTGACTCTCTAGATCTCCCCGTCTGGGTGTTGCATGTCCTGCTGCAATTCCTCCTTCAGTCTTTTCTTCTGTTTCTTTCTCCCCTTTAGCACTGAGGGCTTAGAAATTTTATTTCTTGGAGAATTTATACTTACAGAGAAATGATTGCCTCTGGCTATGGGCCTGGAGCGGGGATGGTGAAGGCAGGTCCTCTGAAGAGTTCCCTGGTGTGTTACAGACAGCTCAGCAGAGTGGGCTGAGAGATAGGAGACTTGCTTCTAGGTTTCTGGCTTGTTTCTAGGTCCCAGGTCTGTCTCTAAAGCCAAAGACTTGTCTATAACTTTGGTGTTCCCACCTGTCAAGTGGGGCAGTAGTGACCAGCCTTTTCCAATGGAGCTGGTTTTGTGAGCACATGGGGAGACACCTGTGGGAGGTTGTTGAGAGGGTACCTAGATGGAGGTCCTGTGCTTGGAAGAGTCCAGGGTGGCTCCAGGACAGGGAGAGAGGAAGGCCGAGTGGGAAGCCGCATCTCTGCCCTCCTGGCACGTTCTCCCCGCAGCCGTGTCCGCTGCCCACCCTTTGTGAACAAAGTAAAGCTGGAGTAATAAGCGGTGGTGGCGGCCCCTGACCCCTGGAGCCTGGGGATGCCTGAGCCTGGAGTCCAGATCTTGTGACATTCTTGGGACCTGCAGATATCAATCAGTGCTGCCGGCTGCCTGCAGGGTCTGGTACCAACTGCCACTAACCTGCTGGGCTGATTAGGAGACCTCCTTCTCCCTCTCAGGGGCCCCCGTCCTCCCCCACTCGGTACAGTGGAGACATCAGATGAGAAGCCCTCTAAGTACGTGGTTCTCCGAGGCCCAATGAGGAAACAACCCTGCCATTCTGTACTGCGCTGTGTTTTAACAAACAGGCCGACATTACCCATCAAGTGTGTGTAGAGCCTGCACGCTCAGGTACGGCCACCAAGGCTGTCCAAAACATTTGTAAAATTCTACAGCCCCCCACTAGGGAGTCACAAACCACAATGTCGTCATTTCTGAGCTCTGTCTCTGTACAGGGTGCTACGTTAGACCTCATAAGTCCATCGTCTCTAATCCTCAGGGAGAGGCGACGGGGGATAGCATCCTGTCTCTTTTACAGACAGCAAATTGAGGCTTGAAAAGGTTAAGTCGTTTGGCTGGGATCAGGCAGACTCAGGCTTCAGACTCAGGTGTGTCTGATGCCAAAGTCCATGCTTTTCAGGCATCTGAGAGGTGACCTGGTTTTTGTTTTTCTTAGACTGCCTTATCTGGTGATGTGTGTGTGTGCTGGAGTGGACAGAGACCATCATGTCTTGCTAAAATAATAAAATATGTGTAGAGAGAGATAATTGAAAAGTACTGAAGCAGATTTTCTCCCTGGCTTATAAATGGGATCAAAAGGTGATTCTAAAATAGGAGTTCACAAGGACATCCCCCGCTTCCCAAGGGACCATCGTGAAGACAGCACCCCAACTCTGGCTAAGAAGGCACAGTTGACTAGTGAAGGGTCTCCGGGGTTTATGGTCAGAGCTCCTGTGTCTATACCCTGAGGGGCCAGCACATATTATTAGGTGCTCTGTAAGTGAATGAATGAAAGAATGAATGGCCAGAAACCCTGATATGACCATCCCTGCTTCCCCTCCTCCCACCATCCAGTACTGTTGAATGAATGAATGAATGTATGTATGAAGAGAGACGGCATAAGCCACAGCAAAGACCGCTCCTTGAAGTTTACTAGCTCCACGCCTTCCAACATGGACACAAAATGTGGAAATCACCAAGTGGGTAGTTCAAATACAAAGCAGGCTCGAGCCCTGACCCCACTCACTTTGCCGGTGAGCCTGGGCTAGTCCTTTCCCCCTCCGGGCCTGGGCTGCCCCCGCTGTCCCACGGGAGGGTGGGCTAGACAATTTCCGGGGCCGGTTCAGTTCTGTGTCCGCGGTGTTCCTCCTTGGCGCCCGCATCTTGGAGGCCCTGGGCCACCCTGAGATTTTGAGCCTGAGTTCTCGGCAGCTGGGAGGGGCTGGCAGGCTTGTCTCTGGCAGGCTGCTGCTGATACCTGCTTGTCTGGAAGCTCGCTGGTTCTGGTGGGTGATCCTGCTGCCTCTCGCTGCCAGTCTGCA